GGTACGACGACATGTGTCAACCAAGTCAGTGAGCCTGACCACCCGATCCCGTTAGACGCCTCTTACGACAAACATGGGTTGCTGAAGATTAATATTCTAACCCGGATCTTCACGGGGCGTAACGAGAGAACGCTTAACCAATAGGCTAACCTACCGTGCACCTTTAAAGAGTTGTGTGGCGGTGGGATAACCCAGTGGTTAAAGCGATTGCCAAAGACCCGGGTTCGATTCCCCTACAATGTGTGAAGCCCATTTCTGGTGTCCCCCGCCATGATATTGCGGGAATATTGCTAAAGGTGGCGTAAAACTAAACTCACTCACTCCCTCTTAAGACAGTTGTAATCATTGATGGGAGAGTGAGTGTGTACGATTGTACGCCGCCTTTCGTAACCATGTGTGGAATCGAACCGGGTCTTTGGCGTGACGAGAGAACGATTTAACCACTGGGCTACCCAAACCGCTCCGTGTTGCTTAAAGACAGTTGTGGTAAATAATGACGAACCATTAGACCAGATAGCGGGTCAGAGCCAATGTATTCCATTAGGAGGCGGGTCCTCCGTAGCAGCTGCAGAGTTAATTATATTCTCATCTCTATAGACCGAGCCAAGTCAGGGATATCTATTACCTATCATTTCCTAGATTCACGTGAACAAACTCACAATTAATTCCCCTCCTCGCTGGCGACTGCAGGCGACCTGCTTCGCCATCAGATCTCGCACATCCGGGACATCGCGTTTTGGAACCCTTTAACAATGTCTGATGACATAAACATATGCATACGTCCATGAGGGTATGATAACGTTAGACAGAAACCGAGTTCCTTCAGAATTAGGATCGTGTTAATTGGGTGACAGAGGCCAGGAGAAATGTATGGCGTATGGTTTGACATCAACGCCAATATTTCAATATAACGCTGGTCCGATTTATATGCCAATATACAGAAATATCGTCTTGGTTTATTACCAGACAGAATTGATAATCTGATCATCGTGTTCATATTACATTGGCCTGATTTCATCGCAACATTTTATTGCTTTCCGGATTCGTACAGAAATTGGGCATTGAAATTGTTGTTTTTAAAACGAAATAGGAATTCGTCATCGTGGATTCATGTAGTGCATTTATGTAAAAACACCACTGATTAAGGAAATGGATTGCGTCGAGTTTATTTCTTCGAGAGAAAGAATATTAAGTTCCATGTTTGAATGTAGAGGCTAAGTTTAATAAATTTCAATATTTTATGAATTAAAGAGATTAAAAGTAATATTGATTTGCCCTGGATTCAAATAGAGTGGCTGATAACGTTGAATCTTAGCAAACGCAAATCTGAATATTTGACGCTGATCACTGAGATGGTTTATTCTGTTATATTTCTATGATATTCATTTGCTTGTGTTAAGAAATATTAACGAGTGACATAAATAGCTCGGCCAAGAAATAAATATCGTTGTTAGGTAAAATAATATTAATATGTGAGTCAGTGCGTTGGGTTTAAGCCTGTGTTGAACATTGCTATAGTTATAATATCAGTGTCTGCTTAATGTGGGGAGAAAACCCGAAGTAAGGCCGGATTAGGCCAATGATCACACCACGGGTATGGTGATGGCAAACCTAGAAACGCAATCAAAGCGAACCGGGATTCGAACCAGGATCATAGGTTTCTGGCGTACCTAAGGGAGGCAACTCTTCATAGCAAACTTCGCGCCCAAGGCGACTGGGCCACCCGCGCACGTCATAGTAATGAATACGCTTCCAAACAGAAAAGGATCTAAAAGAATAATAATGTATGATTGTACAATAAGAACATTATTCCGATGGGCACAATGGTAGTTTCAGTGTGACTAGATCAGTGGAAGTACAATGATATAATGGATGTGGGTCAATTCATTGAATTCTCCGAGACAGAGTATACAAATTGTCAGTAGAGGGCACTATATCACCGCTATAACACAGGGCCAAAATACAGGCTGTTGGTGACATATATTGCTCTCAAACACGACTTACATTTGCATACGTTTTAACCACTCTCTGTTGACAACATACGCTTGACTGGCGTCCAATATCAATGTCGTCTGTGTTGTAGCTGATCCATTGAGGACAGTATCGACAAACTGATTGGACTCAATGCCTAGATATAACAATATATACAACAGATATAACAATAGATATAACATTAAGGGTTACTGACTCACAGATGTGTTTTTCAGTGTAACGTGTTATCTGTTTTGGTAGACAGCTGGGACTGATTGTCCGTTATCTGTTGTTGACGCGTTATATTGAGCTGATGGTGGACTGACCTCCATGAGGTTCGTTACCAACTGAGTAACATTTATCAGTTTCTACATTTCAGTTATCATATATCAGTTATTATCTTAAGGACGAAATAACTTTCCTGAACGAGATATGAAACTCTCCCTCGTGACTCTGGTTCTGGGCGGTGGGGTAGCCTAGTGGTTAAAGCGTTCGCTCGACACACCGAAGACCCGGGTTCGATTCCCCACATGGGTATAATGTGTGAAGCCTATATCTGGTGTCCCTACCGTGATATTGCTGGAATATTGCTAAAAACGGGGTAAAACCAAACTCACACACATAACCGCATCACTTCGGGTTTTGTTCCCACAGTAAGCAGACACCGCCGCAATATTGCTAAAAGCGGTGTAAAACCATACTCACTCACTCCTGCCTCTGGTGCAAAACATGTTACTTTAGTGTTTTGTTGCACTTGTAAGCATCAGTATTTCTGCATTTGTATACACATGACGTAATTCCAAATGGACAGATCTTAAAATAAATCTGTTTCAATAAAACCAGTAATCGGTTGTGTCCGGTGCCCATCACTGGAATGTCTGGTCAAGACTGGACGACTAACACGACATGTGCAGGAGTAATGCTTTGTGTTGTTAGACAATTATTTTATGCAAATTGTGGGTGCTGGCACAAGTGCACTACACGTTTATCTCGAATCCGAATCCGAATAGGCGTTTTCGAACACTCTGAGAAATACCTAATACATTTTAGAAATCATACCCCTGCCTGAAAGTCCATTAGGGTGAGGATGAGATCTCCCATCCAAGGCCAAACTTAAAGCTGGAATTACAGAGAGAAATCCTTGCTATTTCCATCTGTTTTGTCGAATATATTGTTTGGTCAAATGGTGATAATAAATTTTTCAGATATTTACGATTTGGAAAATATCTTTATTGTAGCGTTTAACAAGCTGTAGGTTCACAAACAGGTGGTTGTTTATAGAAATGATTTTGCATATTTTGATCACAGTTATAGTTCATATGTTGATTCACCAAGCTGGATGTGCCAGACTGCACTGATTGCGAGTGAGAAGGACTCATGCTACGAGTATTAGTTAATGTGGTTCAGCTGACGACAAGGACGTGTGTTAGCGCTCGAGTACTGTATAAGTAGGTCTTTAAGCCGTCGAGCTTCTGTTTCTGCGTCAAACACTTGGGTTTCCAAACCTCTTCAACCTCCTTAACTCCACGTGGCGGTGACAACGATGACAGTTAACTTCCTCTGCGTGGCTCACGACATTGTGATACCAAAGTGCGTCATTTTGTAGTGTTGAACGTTGTTTTGCATTTCTTAATGTGGAAATTTACTGTTGGGAAATATAACGAAACGGTCATGGATTCTGTGTTTTTAAGCTTGGTGTTATGACAGGTTCTACGATTAGTTTGTAGTTATTAAAGCAATTTTTTAAATATTTATGAAAATCGTCTTATATTGAGATTTACATCACCCCTGCGACCACTGACGTAAGGTTATTTTACGCCGCTTTGTAGCACTTCTTCCCCCACCTTGGTCACCATTACCTTCTACCTTAACCTTGACCTTGACCTCTATGCATCTCCCTTATAATATTAACCCTGACTCAAACTTGACTTCTTCTTTGACTTTAGCCCTAATTACCTCTAATTACTTGACATAAAACCACATAAACCTCCTTCCGTAACTTTAACCTAAACCGTACGTCTGACCACCCCAGTAAAGCCTAAATGTATACCCGGACCTAAGACTAACCATTACACTCACCGTAACACTAGCCCTACAACTCACTTACATTAGCCCTAAACCTCACCCTTCCAATAGCCCTAACAGTACTACTCAACCTACCACTTGCCCTAACTCTAACCATAACTTTAGCCCTACAACTCACTCTGCGACTAGCCCTGTCACCCTAACACTAGCCTTAAGTCTCACCCTAACACTTGCCCTAAGTCTCACCCTAACACTAGCCCTAAGTCTCACCCTAACACTGGACCTAAGTCTCACCCTAACACTAGACCTAAGTCTCACCCTAACACTAGCCCTAAGTCTCACCCTAACACTGGACCTAAGTCTCACCCTAACACTAGCCCTAAGTCTCACCCTAACACTGGACCTAAGTCTCACCCTAACACTAGACCTAAGTCTCACCCTAACACTAGCCCTAAGTCTCACCCTAACACTAGACCTAAGTCTCACCCTAACACTAGCCCTAAGTTTCACCCTAACACTAGCCCTAAAACTCACCTAATATTAGTCCTCAAACTCACCTAACATTAGCCCTAAACCTCACCTAATATTAGCCCTAAAATTCACCCTACTACCAGCCTAAGCCCCAACCTTTACCTTGACTTCAACCCTATTACAACACTGATAATCGTATACGCCCTGCATCGCACTGAACTTCCTGAATCGGAGACAGTCAAATAATTAAAATATTGCTCAAATCAACTCTAAAGTTAACAGAATCCGCCTCGATTTCACACTGGACATCAGCTGACAGACGACTATTGACACGATCGGTCATTCATGATAAATCACAACACCCGCTAACGTTTAAACACAGATGACCAGAGTGACAGACACTGTCACATCTCTGTTTACTCATCCGTTATTATAATAACCAACCTCCTTATATCAGCAAACACGTCCACAAGCTCTGAATCCCATTTACTGGGGACAGCGCTTGCCGCAGCAGCCACAGCATCAGCACCGGCAGTCGATCAGCTAACGTAATCGTGAACGAACAATCAACTGTTTTACACTGATGTAGTTCCGCCTTAGCCCACTTGGACTTTCTGGTTGAATATTTCATCTGTAGCCAGCTAATTACCCTGTGATTAACCGCAAACTAGACGCCAGTCCAACCCTCGCCGTGGAACCAATGCAGCTCGAGTTGGTCTCTCTGATTGTAATTACGCCTTGGCGCGTATCCATACCCCGGTGACTCAAATACCATTAGACTCGATGCTTGCTGTTCCTGGGACGCTGGTGATGAAGCCGACCCAGATCTAACTGATATACACTAGCGGAATGCGATTGATTCGCAGGTAAGCACTTGAGTTACCTAGGAGAAAAGAAGAGACGCATCTCTCAGCGTTTGTGGAGAAGCTGGAAACACGATCGGATCGTACCACTATCCATCTTCGTCGGAAATTAACTTTATAACTATGGAAGGTAGGTTGGTTTTGTTATTTGTGTATATACACATTTATCCCATGGCTGTGATGGGTCGGTACGTACATCCCTCGTGCTATTGCCAGTGTAGCTCCAGGCTGTTTATTAGAACACCGGGAACGGATTCGTTTTTTTATTTATTTTAGTGCATTATGTTATAAAGCTTTGGAGTCGTTTGAAGTGAAATGGGCGTATGAATATTTACTTGGAAAGTTTCAATCTCCTTGGCAGGGCCGTTGTGTGTGTTGATCAAAGAGACTGCGATGGAGGCAATGGTTTTCTCTGAGAAATCTCCACGGCATGACTTGACGCTTTATCCATGCTGGGTTGGTTATGCATATTTCAAAAGCTACAGATCGATCAAAAGATGTAGCTCTTAAACGAAGGGTGTAGTCCACAGCGTTAGTTCTTCAGAACAACGTTAATGCACGCTGGTATTTTTCATAGGTGTTTGGGAAAAATGTTGTCAGTCGTATTCCCATTGGTTTTGCATTGGTGCCATCCATTGTTGTATTCACGGTGAATCGGAGCCCCTATCGCGTGTGTTTCGAGGTAAAACAGTAAAACACCGTTGCGTCGAATTTTGATGTGTCGAAGTTCGGTTGTCTCGAGATAAAAGCTTAGTTCCTGTGTTTTTATAAATAAGTCAACCTTTTCACGGTTGTGTCGAACATCGGATAACTCGAAGCATTTACGTGGGTGGATATGACTTCGACACAAATGTGTCTGTGTGTAAAAAGATGTAAGTATTCTGCTATTGCAAGTTCAACTTTTCTAAACTACACTCACTCACTCGGGTTACAGAATCAAGGAATATTACTGTTATGAATACATGGTTATGTCGACACAAGAAGAGTGCAGAAGTGCGGTTGTGACGAGATGTTTATTTGTCCTGTACTAGGTCTGATTGTTTTTATGTCGAATAGTACATCGTCTCGTATATCGTAGAATGTGGTAATTTTTGCATTATGTTTGAAAGATATACCCCAGGGCCTAGATTTTCGAAGCTCTCTTAGCGCTAAGATAGTCGTAAGTTAATGTTAATGTATGGCACTTACGACTGTCTTAGCGCTAAGAGAGCTTCGAAAATCTAGGCCCAGCTGCATAACTTTAGTCTAACGTTTCAGTCGGGTCATTGTTAAAAGAAAGATTCTAAATTCAGTCTGTCATTTTGAATTGAGGAATTCTTTAAAGAAAAGACCCCAGCATCTGTTCGCATGCATGTATTTTTGCATTTGGTGATTGCCTGAAGGAAAAAAACCCAAATACAACATTGTAACTGTTTGAAAGAAAAGACCCTAATTTCTATCTGCATGTCTGTTTGATTCGGGTTACTTTTTATAAGGAAATACCCCAATACTAACTTGGGTAATTGTTTGAAGAAGAACATCCAACGTCTACCGAATTGCGATGAAACAACCGCCCAACCCAGCACAATATATTTCCGAAGGTTGTCAGACACCCAGGTTTAGTCATGGCAGGCACTCATTATGTAAGGCGTTGCATAATTTTTTTTTATATTTTAAAATGTTTCTTTGGAAATATAATGAGAACTAATATACAAGAAAGGAAATACCAAGTCCCAAGTGGCGACAGGTGCCGTTCTGTCACGGGTTGGGGAAAAAGTCTCGATCTCACATTGGAAGATTTGAAAAGGGAGATAATGTTATTACGTTGCTGGTTTTCATGAACCGTTTCAGCAGTGTATACACGGCTGGTTTAAATGTTTTCTTGGCGTGTCGGTTGACCGTTCGGTCGGTTCGTCCCGAGATGTAGGATACTTTGTAACAAACATACAGTTATGTATAATCGTTAATTGCCTGTTGTCTCACGGAGATGATATGACGGACTGTCGTACAGCTCGCCGTGTGGAGCAAATTATAACATTCATCCACTAATTGATTTGTTACAGTCTGCAAACACTGTCTTTGTTCCATTTCACTCGCATTGATCGCCGACAGTGTACCTAGCATGGCGGTGAGGCAACACGTCATGGCATGTTCAAAGTTGCACGACGTCATGTCGGAGATGTAGATGTGGCTGGGGCAACGCTTTGTAGTGAGTGAGTGTGGTTTTCCGCCGATTTAGCAACGTTCCAGCAATATCGCTGCCGGGGACACCAGAAATGGGCTTCTCATATTGTACCCCTGTGGGAATCGAACCCGGGTCTTCGGCGTGACGAGCGAACGCTTTAACCATGAGGCTACCCCACCGCCCCTAAGGAACCTCGCCTTAGACGACTTTGGCCGTGATCCACGCTCAGTAGAACCAAAACACACGCACGGAGATTTGAACAGGCTGTCTGTGTAATGCATCTTTCTTGTAATACCCCGGCATGAGCAGGTACTGACTTTCTGTTGAGAACTCATTCGGAGAATCGACCCTGATGGACTTAGCTTAATGAGTCCGAATTATCCATTGCTAAGCATGCATGACTTTGTACGATATCCTTGGTACGTGCTACACGTGGTATGATGTAGAAGTATGTTTATTGTACGCCGTTCCATCACAAATTAGAAGAGCTTTGTGCTACAATATTAATAACATGGTCAGTGGATCGTGTGCACTCAAATTACATTTTCAACTCCCTGGGGAACATACAGTCAGTGCTGATTTATGAGGCGCTAGAAGGTTTACAACCACTATCTCATACTATCGGGTACCCATTTGTTGCTGGCAGAACAATATCAATAAATGACATATGCGTACGTTATTTGTATATGCTTTAGGGAAGTAAGATATTTCAGGTATTACTAAACCAATAAAAAAAAAAACCCCCCAAAAACCCCAACTAAACTGATGGGTAAACGTTTATAGAGTTCGTCTGGATGAAATTAGAAAAATAGATAAAATCTAAAATTCTGTAAAATGCCAATTAAACCGTCACTCACTTTTGTAACAGTATTCCGTAGCTGGGTACTGTGTAGGAAAAATTAGTTTAATAAAGACTGATCAAGAAAACTTATTAATGAACTCCCAACCACATGACACCGACAATATTTGAAATCTTTCTTTCCCCAAAACGCCACAACAAATTTATTGATTTACAGGGGTGAAATGTTTAAGATACCAAACAACATTGACTATTATGTTCATATCATTAAATTGTGAAGCATTGATCATGAAGAGCGTTCCCAATGTAGAAATAGTTTCTGAGTGCTATTGAGCGTCAGTACAGTTCATATTTTGGAACCCGTGAAGATCCGGGTTAGAATATTGATCTTCAGTATCCCATGTTTGTCATAAAAGGCGACTAACGGGATCGGGTTGTCAGACTCGCTGACTTGGTTGACGCATGTCATCGGTTCCCAATTGCGCAGATCGATGCTCATGTTGTTGATCACTGGATTTTCTGGTCCAGACTCGATTATTTACAGACCACCGTCATACAGCTGGAATATTGCTGAGTGCGGCTTAAAACTAAACTCACTCACTCAAATTTTGGACATATTGGCGCTAACTCAAGACAATTTCATGTGAAAAAATATAGTTGCAGGCAACTATGAGGGCTCCTCGGCTTTAGTTCTATCCATTGTATCTGAGGGCTAGAAATTATCGTCCAAAACGGAGCCAGAACACGTTTTTCGACAGGCGAGCGGATCTTCCAAATACAGCCAGGGTTGCGGGGGTCATGTACCTTTTTAAGAAGTTCCGGAGAGGAAATAGTTCCCTCTTTAAAGGCTGTATCTCAGTTGTTCTTGGGTCTACGGTCAAAACAATTAGTGTTCTGGAATCACCAAGCCTTCATCTACCATACTGGCACTTTGTGTGCAGAATTTGCACATTTGGGGAGCAAACTACTCCGAAAACTGCTGAAAATCATGGCCAAAACTGAAAACAAAAATAACTGCCAAACGGTACGTTTTAGAGACTTGACCCGTCCAGACAAAATTGTTGGGGATTCGATTGTGCATCTGTACAAGAGATTTGGAAGTGTTGGAACAATTAGTTCTTGAGATATTTGCTGTCAAACTTTGAAATTTTGGAATTAATTTTGAATTATCTCCCCTTTGCTATTGGGCCTAGAGCCTAGAGAGTTTTAAGGGGACTATCTACACCTCGGTGCGCATCTGTGTGTGCGATATTTTTGTAAGCGATTCGGAGCATTGGTTTAGGAGTTATGTTTGGTACAAAAATCGGCGGAATAATGATAATAATAATAATAAATAATAATAATAATAATAATCCGAACGATTACAATAGGTCTCCTGCCTAGAGGCAAGGATCCCTAATAATGGAACTTAAAACATAATCAGCTGAGAGGCATATTGTTTTTTGATAGTGCTGCTCATTTTAATAATATGCTTGTTTGATATGCTTTGTAGTTATTGCAGTCCTGTTGAATATTGCTATTACTTAAATGCTAATTATTCAAGCATGGTAGCCTTTGGTGTTTACGCTTTTGAGCTACATCTAACGTGCTCCAAGGGCGTTTCAATGTGCATCACACGACTCCACCTCGATGTGGAGAATTCGGTACCATGGTGAAGACTTCGTAGAGTTTTGTTGCCTACAGTAGCTGGACATGTCCAGGTTTGGTTTATCAGTGGCCGGGTCATGGCCGGTGTAATCATCTTTTCCGACTTTTGATGTTTCTTCAAGGTTTATGTTGGACCAGGTTTTTTGGGTGTCCACTTGACCTGCCTTTGCGTGTGTTTGTGACTGATGTCACCTGTGCGGCAATTTGTGCTTACGTATTTGTGAACACCTGGTGTCATCGCTTCTGAATACTGATTCAAAGACACATGCTTGGGACGTAGTGTCCAACTCAATCTGAATCTTTTTAAAATGATGGAAAAGGCTTTGTCGGTCTTATATACATTTTATACTGAGGTACAGAAAAAGTACACACCCAGTTTCTGGGTATATTGCGAAAAATAGCGGAACTATTTTGATCACAATGTTTCTAACAAGGTAAGCCACAATCAAAATACTTTTAAAAATATTTCTTAAAAGATACCAAATAACCGGGTGTGTACTTTCTTTTGTGCGTCAGTTTA